GTCAATATGATCCCACACTGCTTCAATAATGTTGAGATCTGGGCTCTGGGGAAGCCATTGTGTGCTTTGCTATCCAGGTATTGCTTTTACTGCATTGGCAGTGTGTTTGGGATCAATGTCATTTTGAAAAATAAAGCCACTGCCAATCCGACGCTTTCCAGATGGCATTGCATGGTGGATCAAAATCTGATGGCACCTTTCTGCGTTCATAATTCGCTCAGTTTTTCAAGATCCCAACACCTCTGGCTGAAATACTAACTAGGAATGAGTCTCCACTATGTTTTACAGATGGCAGCAGACACTCAGTGTTATACTTCCCTTATGACCTCGGATAATTTGACAGTTTGGATTCATCATCCAGACCCGCTGACATTGATTTTCATCCAGTTCTTGTGTAACCTGGCGTCGCTCAACCTCTCCTCCCTGTAACACTTCCTTCAGACTGGCTCCTTGACAGCCACCTTTCCACTGAGAGCATTTCAGATGAGGCTTTGGCGAACAGTAGCTGGATCGACTGAAGGGCCCGGTGCATCTCCCAGGTCTTGTGTCAACTTTTTCCTGGATTTCTTTTCATATAACTAAAGGACACGACTTTCAGATACTGTTCATCTGCTATAGATATCGCTTTTTAGCCCAGCCACTTCTTTTTGTTCTCCACTTGACTTAATTTGGGGTTATATAAATAAAATTGAATTGAATTAAACTTGTCCAGTTCCCTCAAATGTTTTAAGAACACATTGCACACCATGATGAGATATGCAAAGGTTTTGGCTAGCAGGTCTTTGAAAATTACCTTGTAGGTGAAAAAATATTATTTTTTATCTTTGGCATTTGTGTTAGAATCAACAAAAAAATGGGAATACACAATGTGTTTATGCATCTGTCATGTATAGACACAAAAACGGCTTTACCCCTTGAGTCAGGTGCCTTTATGTCCATAGAAAAACTCAGAAAACCTGGAAAGCTATTGCTCAGGAAAACAGTCTGGTTCTCCTACAGCAAAATCTAAAGAAATGAGGAGTAACTTATTACTATTGCAGAGTGCTGCATGTAAATCAAAGTACAATCATCATGAAAAATTTAAGCCTTATATCTGCAAAAGACATTAATACATGTGACAGTGAAGTTAAGAATTCTAATTGATTATGTGTTTAATCAAACACTGCTCACACAGAGAAGGCCAAGAAACCATTTGTGTTTAGATTTTATTAAGTACACATCAGTTAGTTGTGCTGCCAAACAGACAGGCACACTCAGTGCAGGGGATTTTGGGAGGGGAACCAGAAGGTCTGCAGTCTTTGCAGTGACAACCATCGAAGAGTCGAGTGTTGTGTTTTGGTTGGATTTAGGTTTGATGGGGGAAAGAAATAACTTTTTTAAGCCAAATATTTTTGCAAACTAGCTTTCCCCATCAGGAATTACATTTATTATGCACTTTATTTCTGTCAATTTTCTTATTTTGTCATGATTTGCTTTCATGTTTTGCTTTGCTTAACACAGCCGAGCTTAGAGCCAATAAAACCTGTATTTTAAGGATCATTATTTTGCTTTGGAATGTCGACTCCTATCAGAGAAAACTGACAACGCAACTGAAGGGCAGGTCCATCCATCCAACAGATATGTGACAGTTAAATCAAACTAACAATCCCAGCCCGATCTGGCCTCTTTTAAACAAATGTTCATAACATTCAAAACAATCTTCTGACAGAGATCTAAACCTAGTCCAAGAAAGCCCATGGCAGCTGGGGCTTTGGCCTTGTGCTCTGTTGCTGGCTGGTTAAATATGCAGGAAGGTCTCTGATAGGTTACCTGATCTGGTAGAGTATCATTTCAGCCCCGCATTGTCCTGATCAAGGCAGGAAAGACACACATCTACTGTATTAAAGTTTCCACAGACACAGGCAGGCCCAGAATGCTCACACAAAAGCGTACACACACTATTTTCCACATTTTCCAGTTATCTGGAGACAGATTCAATCACATCCATTACGACGCTGTCCTTAACTTTGATTGACAAATAAAATGCGCTTCCATTTTCTCATTCTGCTGCTCACAGGGCCGCCTCTGTTCAGGGGCCATTCCCATCTGCTTCTAGAGACAAATCTGTGAGGTGAAGCTTCTCCTCGTGTCTCAGAAACCAGTCTTTCTCTTGGGGGAATGTACAACTGTACCAATCAGTGTCATTCATGATGAGACCCACCTGGCACACATGCATGCACACACTCTTGTATATGAGCGTGTGATGTGCCAGAAGTCGTGTGTGAGACAAAAGAAAATAGGTGGCTGAAAGAAAGCTTGAAAGAAAACTGCTGAAGGAAAATGGAAGGAATGAGGTGAGTGGGGGGATCTTGTGGGAATGGCTGCCATCTCTGGCCAAATGATTGACAGGCAGCAGAGGAATGCACGGCCACGCCGGCCCACTAAAGAGCTCTAAATATCTTTACTCATCCTCTGGTTTGCCCACTTAGTCCAGGAAACCTAAGCCATTCCCAAGCAGGGGAAGATGCCACTTCAATAGCAGGAAAAATTACTTGAAACCGGAGATGAGAGTCAAGCAATCAGTCCTGACAGTGTAAGTGTTTCTGTGTGTGTCTGTGTGTGACTGTGTGTTTATGGCAGTCAGGATCTGATGCAGCCCAGAGGCCCGTACTATGAGGTCCCCTCTCATCCAGGACACTTCAGGGTCTCTTGCACTTCTTACCAGGGTATATCGCCATGGTAACTTGTGCCCTAATCTGCCCCAGAGCAGACAGATTAGACATCAGCAGGTATGAAAACACTGCATCATCCGTCCTGCACCTCTGTGCACAGAAGGGACTAAAGTTTTTTTAATAGTGTCTAAGTCTTTGCATTTTCCCAGTAAGAAATCATTTTAATTTCATTCCCTGACTTTTTCCCTGTGCGCTGCAAACAACTTTACAACTACTTTGTTGTTCTAAAAGCCTTAATAAGTCATCCTAGGCCAGCCTGGGTCTGAATTCTGTTTTCGTATTCATTCACTAATTGCTCTCAGACCACTAAACACCACCTGCAGCCTAAAGAATAAAAAATAAAACTGTCTCGCCCACATATCATATTAATTTAATGAAATACTCAGTTGTATTCCAGCAGATTCTCCCGTGTCTTAATGTCAAAGCTATGAAGGCAATAAGTCTGTTAACTTACACAGTCTACATTTCTGTCGGATTTCTTTCCTGGCTTCAAATAGGCTGAACTTTATTAATATAGCAGGCTTTTTTCCAGTCGTACTGACCAAAGTGGCTAAAGTGCTCACGCATGCACTACTGTACAGTACTTTTCCTCTCACACACATACTCACACAGCTGTGTTGTTTTCAGGCTTTATTGTCAGTTTAACGCCTTCATATAGTTTTATCTTCTTGTGTAAAACCAGCTGCTCTGCTGCCATCACCACCCCTTTCAAATAAAAGGAACCCTGGTTAACTTAACGAGCTGATAACTAGATTTGTGTGACCACTTAGCCCGGCTGCTGATGTTGGTACAGTGATGCAATCTATGTCAGAAGCATTTGAGGTGATTACATCTTTCCCTGGCGTGCATCTTCAGTTCTGCGTGAGCATTGCATAAGCAGATGTAATTATTTCTACTTTACTATCAGCTTTTCCCACTGAAGTTAAAAATTACACCGTCTGCGGCAGTAAAAAGGATCTGTCCAAAATGCAAACAAAGCCAAAGCATCCATGAACCACGGGCTGCAGAACCCCTGTTATTTTGGTGGATTTAGACTGCAGCTGGCATGGTTCTTGTCATACTTGTTGGTTTTGTGGTGCTCATTTGTGTTTTTATTTCCCCCTTCAGTGTTAGATGTACGTTTCTTGGTTATCTCCTGTTTTATGTTTATTTTTGACTTCCCCACCTTAACTGTTTCCACCTATGCCCTGGTCCCACGTCAGTCGCCTTTCCCAATCAGACCCATGTGTTCCTGAGCCACGCATCCCCTGCTTCTTCAGTTTGTGTTTCATTTAGCGTTTGTCACTTTGTAAATGATCAGATTTTGTTTTCATTTTGAATATATTTTGGCAGTATTGGGCACTTAATAGCGATTTGTGAGAAGCTAATATTGCTTGGTCAGGCCCTGTTCTCCTCACACCCATGACTTGTACACGCATACATTTTTTTAAACATGCATTTTCAGTAGAACAAAAAAAAAGGGAAAAATGCACACTTACAAAAACCACCCACTGAAAACCAATTTCTTTTCGTATGATGTATTCAACTAACTACAAGGGCCAAAATTCCTTGCACATGTATGGACAATTAGGCCTAATTTTGGCCCAAATTGCTTCCTGTAATGATGAGTGGACATAGTTAGCAGACCACTCTCAACTGCTGAACACAAAGAGATCTAAAGTATCACTTCCAAGTCTAGAGAGTTATGTAGAAAAATGCTAAATGCTCACCAATCCCCACCTCCCCCCCCCCCCCACACACACACACACACCTATATCTCACTAAATACAACCGACCTCCATCTCTAACAGCAGTGATAAAATCATTAGAGCCACAGAGTTTAGAGCTTCAAACATGACCAAGAAAAAGCTGCCAGCTTTCTTCAGCCCTCTAACTGACCCGCCCACACGCACAAACCCACTGGTGGACTAAAGGAACCACACGCATGGACATTTTTTCCACCCACCTCAGCGGCCGTTAGAGAAACAGAAGGAGAAAGAAACACAAAACAGAAAAAAGCAGGATTTTTTGCACACATACAGTTTCTCTCCTAACAAAGACCATGCAAAGTTACTATTGTATGCACCAATAGATGCACAGTGGTCAGAACGGTGTTTCTTCCAGTCTTTATTACTGCAGTGATCTACAGAGTGTCCGTCTCGTGATGTGTGTATCTTTGAAATTATTTTCCAAGAAGCTGGAAAGCGGTTTAGTGCAGTGTCAGTGTTTGCATGTTTGTGGCTTTACTGGTGTGTGTTTGTATGTCTTTGGATTTTGCTTTTCTCCATGTGTGAATGTGCACACACTGACCTCTGTCTGGAGTGTATTGGCGCGCTGCTCCTTGGCACTGAGCGACTCTTTTAGCACTTCGATGTGCTGCTTGCAGTCCGAGTTCTGATTGGTCAGTGTTTCTAGTTTGGTCTGCAGCGCCTGCATCTCAGACTCCTTCCTGTTCAGCTCCTGCTTCAGCTGCTCTATCTGACAATCACGCAAACACACACACAAACACACAAATAAGGGTCATCAGTGAGATATACTTGATATATACTTGTAGATAAGACATGCATTCAAAAATATGACTTTTCATTTAAACCAATGATACACCAATGATACAGATGTGTCAGACTAGTGCATATAAAAGAATCTGAATATCATGAAAAGTTTATTTTTTGTAGTTTAATTTAAACAGATCAGCTTTTCACAAAAGCCTTTTTTAGCTCACAGAAACTGAAAATCATAAATCCAGCATTTCAAAATTGTTAGAATTTGGAGTTTGATTGAATTCAAAGAGTATACATCTCATGTGTTTCTTAGCCTAGTTCAGTTCCCACAACCACAACCAAGGGGAAGGCTGGTGACTTGTGTGAGGCCTGATGACCTATGCTCTCCACAAAGAGGGTAAACCACCGAAGATCATTGCTGAAAGGCAGGCTAGGAAAGTTTTACGCTTAGCCTTAAAAGTACAGAGAGTAGTGATAGCGTAATAATGGAAATTTGACTGGAAGGTAAATGCATGGTAAGAAAAAGGACACAAACAAAGAGAAATCAGAAGATGTCAGCTCAAGAACTTGGAGTGGGCTGAGGCTGCTGTCACACTTCTAATAGTGTCTTACCTGGATTGAGGTGAACTAGAACTGGACTGCTACTTTCAGATGAAAGTTAATTTTGTGTTTCATGTTATTATTGTGCTTCATCGGCCAGAAGCCAACCCCAAAATATACACGATGAAGGCTTCCATCACAGCAGCCTGGCCTTCAATAAAACCTTAGCAGTGCCACAAGCTTTTTGCCTCCATGCCAGACTGCTCTGACGCAGCAGTTTGTAGCGAATGAACCAACACTGCAGGAGATGGAATTTTGGAAGTGATTTCTTTAATTGTTGTCAGGAAATGCTTTGGGGATTTCTAATTTTCATGACTTAGAAACCAACAAATTGAGACAAAAACAATGACCTGATATCTTTCACTACACGTGTATTGACCACAGAATATATGAACATGTGCCTTTTTTAATTAAACCACAAAAAAGAACTTTTTCATTATATTCAAGTTACCTGAGGTGCAAACTGAGTCTGACCTCCAGAACAAGCATATCGAACACACTATTTTAAAGGCAACAGCAGTCTTAAGCTGCTCTTTAAAATAGAAGTGAGTAATACATACAAAATTACATCCTGTAAACTGTGTCACTGATTAATAAAAAAAGGAAATCTGAAACGTCTCTGATGCTGTGACTCAATTAGGAAAAGCAGAATGTTTTGTTATCTATTTATTGCAATATAAACACGTCAGTTGTGACATATTTTGTGGAGCGATGATGTCCTGGAATCATCATCAGCCTTATATTATCAATCCTCACTTGGAGGAGTCCCAGACCTACTGTGTGCACACACCCCAGCCAAGAGACAAACATTCACAGGGAGACGGAAACAGATTTGTTTTAAGGAAACCCATATAGGACATAACAGAAAACCACAAAGGAAATAAAATGCTCTAACACAGAGTGGTTTCTGTGCTCAGGCTTGCTATGTAGAGAATACTGTCATCTGTCTACTGCTGCCAAAAATGCACAAAGCTGATTTGAAGAGAGATTTCTCAAATTGCATGAGCAAGGTTCACTTCATAAAAGGGGGATTCTGACTGGCTCAGCATCTGGCTGATAGACCTTCAGTCACAGAGACAGCATATGAGAAATCCAGCACTGAGATGAAACGCAGGGGAAAGGAGATCGAAATATGAGGCTATGCAATAAGAGAGATCACTGCGGTGACTGAACACTAAGAAAAACAAGTCAGGAAATGAGAAGTCAGTGCACTAATGATAAAAAGGCATTATAATTAAAATAAGGAGCAGATATTTCAAAGACTATTAAGCTATGAAGAAATAATGAGAGAGGAGAGAGACTAATGAGAGGGGTACTTCTGCTTGTTCTGTGATCCAAGGCTGTTGGGTGGGGAGGAAGGTGGGAGCTGGTCTGATGGAAGACACACATGGTGACAAGGCCTGCTCCTACAAAGACAAGAAAACAGCAAGCCACTAAAATGCAGCACAAGCTGTGTGCCCAGCCACTCTACTTCACACACTGCACTCCTCAACCACACAGCCTTGGCTTGCGAAAGGGTAAGCAAATTTACCTGCTCCAGCTCTCGCGTACCCTCTAACACGTGTTCGCATTCTCCAAAGCCATTTTTGCAGTGTTTGAGCAGATCAAAGTCCAGAGGAGAAACCAGAGAGGACAGCGATGCCGCCCTCTCTGGTTTCTCTTATCGCAGTCCCACCTCAACACCAGTCACCAACACCGCTGAAAGACCCGGACCCTAAACACTACCAGCATGTAGAATGAATCGGTGCATATCCATGTGCGTGGCGACTTGCTGTGTTTCTCTGTGACTGTACGAAGAAAGACGAGCCACGGGAGAACGAGCCGGGGGCCATCGCTGTGATGTATATCACCCCGGGCCGGTATGGGTGAAGAGAGAGCTCTTTCCTCTGTTCCTCTGCCGTTGTAAGCTCACATTCATCTGTCAGGGCCCCATTCATAAAAACATCTCTTTTATGATTGCATCAGGAACTTCCCCGATGCAATGATAAATGAGCCCTACAATGAGCACCATTAATGAACCAAATGGAGCGCAACTCATGGGCCTCAACCGTCATGAGCACTTGTCTTGATACTCAGTGAAACCTGAAACTACATTTTTAACAGGGTTTGGATACATACAGCATGCGTGTGCGCACGTTCATGTATGTGCATGTCATCTGTGCGGCTTTAGACACATTTGTGCGTTGATGAATAAACCAGTATACGGCCTGGGATAAAAGATTCTTAGTCAGGAAACCGACACAGCGCACTGTTAACTGATCGTTCCTGACAGGAGGCTTGTATAATGCTTAGTGATCACACTGAAGTCCAGGGCAAATAAGCAAGTACTGCTTTTCACTACTCACAACCTGGCTTTAAATATCAAATAAGAAATACATACACATGTAGGAGTTCTTGGCACCCATGCAACATGAGAGGCTTAGTGCGAATGCAGCTAGAACACACAATACGAAATACAGATTCATGCAGTTTGCCAGTTAAGATTTTTCCACATTCATCTTGTTTCCCCATAAACAAGCAATGGCAACATGCAACATGCAACAGTTTCTGGCCTTCTGGCTATTTATACTTGAGACAAACATGCACGTCCCGGATCACGCGGCGTGGAGTCATCTCAGGTGGCATGCAAAGATATTCTACCTTAGTCTTCATGAATTTAGAATGGCTCTTGTAGACCTCCACCTGCTTGAGCTCATCCTGCCTCTCATCAGAGTGCAGCAGGCCGCTGGTCTTTAGCATCTGGACTTCATCCTCTAAGTCTCTGATGTTCCTCTCCAGGGAAGAGATCTTGGTGTCCTGCACCAGCAACAGTAGGCAGGCAAACAGTCAGCAAAGACCTGGCCAAGAATATTAAGCTGTGGGGCTAAAAGATAGATTACCTAGCGCGTGCATTAGTAGACAGTTAGCGCTCTACAGATACATTAAAAATGTGATTGATAGAATATCCCTTGGTTGACATATCTCTCTACCAGCATGTGTCTGTGTAAACATATTTCTAGTATGTTTGAGTCAACATATTAATCTAAATCACACAGAGATTTCATATAAACCAAGTCAGTGCATTTACACAAATCCTCCGATATATAAATGTAATGTACAGTCCTATGTCTGAGTAAAATGTCTGGAAAAGAAGGGGAAATATTTTGGCAGACATTGGTGTACAGCCAAGATATTATTCATCTGCAGAGCCTATGAGGGAATAAAAGGGTCTGTCATGGACAGGTCCTGAGGTTGTTTAGTTGCATAGTTTCAAACATACATTAAATGCAAAACCTTGGAAAAGAAGAGAAAGGTAATTTAATAAGTGGAAGCAGATTGCATGTTGCCATCAGCAGAAACCATAGGCAACATGTAAGCATCTGACCTCTATTACATCCTATGACATCAGCCTTGCCTAGCACATGGTGCTGCATAAAAGTGCACACAAAAGACCAAGGAGAAATGCATAAAGCATATGCATATACAAAACACACACGCACAGAAAGAGTCTATGCAAGGATGCAAACTTTCAACATGTACCCAGAAAAAGTCAAGGTAAGGCACTCAGACAGTGAGTCCTCCTGCCGCATCCAGTTCACACACATAAAACCATAGAGACAAACACGTCTATAAAAATGTCTGATTTTGATCTGTTTCTCCTGCACAACAGAGGGGGAGGAAGCAAAATGCATATTTTAGCATATAAAACATTCATTAGAACTACATAAAAGCCGGATCTTAAAACCACTGACATAAAGTTTTATGGGACATCCAAGTTGCATTTCAACTGAATTCATGGTATTGAAAGCTAGAAACAGAAATACTGTATGAGTGTTGAGCTCACAGCAAGACCAAAGGGTGTCGACTCAGTACTGTACCTGCCAGATAACATCAGGATCAAAACAAAAAGGGGGGTTGGTCGCCTGTAATTACAAAGTGGACACATCCAACACTTAGACGAAGCAACACACACACTGAAACTAATTTGTGGACACTACATGTCACCGCTGATTACAGCAACAGCAACACAGGGTAGTTTAACAAAGCAATCACGCATTACTAACAACGCTAGAGATGACTTTCTTTTGTTCTTACTCTCCCCTACAATACGTCAAAGCCTCCTGGCAACTGTGTTTGTCTGCCCGTTTCTAATGAATTCAGTCAGATTTAATTTAGACCCTTTCTCGCCTTAAAAACACCGCGAGGCACCATGAGCTAGCACATGTGCAGTCTGTTAATAGGCAGACAAATCACAGAGTATGTGTGAAAAATAACTGTGGTTTTGCTGTAAAGGATCCACTTTTAAAGCAAGTGTTTGCTGAATGAACAATAAATGTGTGTGCGTGGGTGTGCACATGGACACATGTGGAGGCAACTGCATTTTTTCACAGCACTGACAACTTCAAAGGGCTGCGATGAGAGTGAAAGCTTCCATATGTGACATTTGAAACAAATTGAATAAGTGCTCAACTCCGCATGTGCCAATAATGGACTTTACTTGGGCATGGCTGCCATGCAGATGCAAGGTAAAAGTTCTCCAGACTGTTTCTTCATGTTCATCTTTGCAATATAGAGAGATCCGCTGCTGTTACGCGCATTCTAGGTGTACTTAAAATGATGTTTTGAACATGCAAATGCAAGAGCAAATAACACTGCTGAAATAAAATGGTGACATTAGCTGGATTTAAAAAAACTGTTTCATATTTATGATAAACGGCCAAAAACTCAGACATATATGAATTTCAGATAAAGCTATTGCACCAGTACACACACTCCAGCACATTATTACTTAAAACAGCTCTTGCTGTGAGAGTAACTCTTAGTCCTACCTTCATATCAATGACAGTCTGCAGAGCCCTGGTTTTGGCCGGATCGGCCTGGAGCTGGTTTCGGCGATGAAGCTCCTGGGGAGGGACCCGGTAAAAATAAGCCTGACGGCTCATCATCTTTAACACTTTCTAAGAGCGTCAGAGCTACTTCAAAAGGCACACCGATCAGTGTCACCAGTTTTATCTCTCCTACATTGTCCTTATATCATCTTTTGTTATGTAACATTACATTATCCACTACTCTGTCTCGAATTTTGCAAAACAAAACAAAGTTCATCTATGGTCAGCTGGTGCCTGATCTGAAGCTCTCCCGTTTTCCATCTCCAGCAGCAGGTGTCTATTTTCTCTGCCCTCTCTTCTTCTGTCTTCTTTTTCTGTCTCGGTTTGCTAGCAGGTACCTGACACACTTAGCTTTAGGTCATTTGAATCTGCCTCTATCCTGCTTTCAGCCTCAATCTTTCGATTTCTTATCTCTCACTTGTTCTCTGGTTCTCTCTCGCAGATGTCTCTGGCATGCTAAAGCTCTTGCTTAGCAACACTTTCTGCCAGCACATGCGCTAAGCTTTTTATATCAATAATTAATGGTAGCTCTGACCTACAGCTATGCCTACACAAAAAGCACACAAGCTAACAGACACACACACATTCCTACACATTAAAGTTACTGTTAGAAAATGGCCCCACACTTCTCTACCATCACTGAAGCTTAGCTTTAAATTGCCTCGCCACTACCCGAGCATCCACGAGTTTAACATCTCATTTCTGTGCAGGTACATGTGTCTAACAAAGATGCCATACAAAGACGTGCCTGCCTAAATTCATTGAAACACTACTTCACAAGGACATTGCTGTGAGCAGTGTTGTTTTTAAGAAATGCAGTTTTGCACCCACAGAGTCAAACATGTTTACAACACGAGCGCCCAGCACAACCACAGTCTGATCTTCTCGCCACCAAGCGGCTTGACCAGAGCACGGAGAGGATCAGTTTTGGTAATGAGGGAGTGGCCCTTGCCACCTCTGTGATACTGTGCTTTCAATCCCCCACAAACATTTGATTTTAAGGAACCGCAGAGCACCACTGTCGTCTTTATAGAGAACTCAATGTATAAGATGTTTGTGCGGGACTGGAAACCGCTACAGTAAACTAATGAATGACAAAGGTGATCTATAGAGTGAATCCACACATGTATTACTAATAATCTAACCACAAAAAGCACATGCTCAGTGAATTCACCATTGAAAAGTTACCTCTAATATTACACTAACAGGACAGAAAATGCTTAAAACATTAAAGTGTTTTATTTTGTTATAACTTTGCATCACTGTTCATGCATAAATGTACACACCAAAGCCTAAAACTGAGAAGACTGAATGCCCTGAAACAGCTCATCATGCCATGAAGCATAACAATCATAAATAAGCAACAGGTTCTGCCAGTGAGTGGAAATGACAGCAGACAAGGACCTTATCCACTTGTCCGTGTCGGTTGTGGATAAGGAGGGATTACTGCTGTCAGAGCATGCCTCCCACAGACTAGCATTCCCACTGCCACCACAGTTCAAGTCCTTATTAAAGTGACTGATTTGTCACAATGCGCATGTCTGTCTTTTTGACTGCCTGTACACTTTCTTTGGTTCCTCTGAGAAAGTGTGTCTATGAACTTGTTATCAGCAACAGTTCTGCAAACTGTTGTATCTCTCAGTGGGGAAACGAAGCCCTGCAAGAGAGAACGTCATCAAAGACCGTCCTCTCTGCTCCACATGTGTCCGAGGGACTGAGCATATGGAATGAATAGGATCAAACGTAACACTATAGCAATAAGTGCCGGCATCCTGAGTGAAGGATACGGTCAAAAGGTTCAATTCTAGCCTCAAGGCAATGGTGTCACGTACAGCGTGCACACACCGAAACATGCACTGATAGAGACACACACACATATATGTATGTTCACTAATCGCATTCCTATCCCCTCACCATCAGTGAGAAAAAAGCCAAAAACAAAAGGAAACAGTTGCTTGCCACAAATGTGTCTGCCTATCGGCTCGGTGGATTAAAAGTTTGAAAAGATAAATGGAAAAACTGCGGCGATCAAAGACTTTTGTTGGGAAATAGTTGGAGGTTGCAAGGTGAGGAGAAGCTTTGAGGGGTGTAATCTTGTCCTGATAAACTTTTCCACTCAGACATTCTGGGAAATTAGCAGAGCATGGCAAGTAGGTGGTGCCCATGTTTTGGTGAAGAAAAGGGAAAGTTGGTATACGTGTATGCATGTGGGTTTTTTGCTGATGTTATTTGCAGTAGTCTTCGGATGGTAGCTGAGATGGGTTTCTATAGCAAAGGCTGAAAGTTTGGCTTCTCAAAAAACAAAACACACTGGGATGAACAAAAGAAATAGTGCATAGACAAACATATCCAGACAGAGAGGCAGGATAGACATCAATATTTTGCTGCTGAGCTTGGTGGCATGAGAAAGTAAGCAGAAAGGAAAAGCGGGAAAAAGATGAAAGAAAAAAGATTTGCTGACACGAATTTCCACTTCATTCCAACATGCTGGCATTGGAAAGCTAAAGAGATAAAGGCATGCCAAAAAAGCAGCAGAAGCTCTGAAGCCAGTCATGGTATATAAAAGCAGAACAACAGGGACTCCTTTTTCTCAGCAACAGAGCAGTGCGCAGGCTTTAACGATCACACCGAGCGAGATACAATCGGGGGCCGAACTTTAGAGCCCCGGCTGACCATACGGCATCTGTAGTAGGTTACGTATAAAGAATACATGCCATCTCCAAGTAAAAAACTCATTGTGAAAGTGTGAATGTGTGTGTGTTTGGACACATTTGGCAGCAGGTCAGGTCTGGGCAGGAACAGACCAGTGGTGAGGCTGTTATTATTGGGTCTGCAGGGACCTGACGGCTGGGGAGAGTCAATTAGGCCCAGATTTATGCCTCTCAGCGTGTGTGTGTCTCTGTGTGTGTGTATGTGGTCCCATCACACACAACTTTGGCTCAGTTTGTGATTGTAATCGCTGCAGTGGTCAAACTCTGATAGAACACTGCCACTCTGTGGACCTTGCTGGTACTGCAAAAGTTCAGGTGGCCCACTAACACTTTTTAAAAGTGACTAAAATGTGTGGATCCAAATCATTTTTAGTCCAGATCAGTCTATGAGTGCTATGAATGGGCTGAGAAACATGTGCCAGTGTTTCTATGCTGGATTTGTGCAATTAAGGTATTCGGATCAGTGACAAAATTGAACAGGAAACACAAGTGAGAGAACACCCCTGTGCACACAACATACATGTGACAACATACATCAGCAGGTGAAGGAGTGATGGAGTGCGCTCTCCATCCGTACACACTGCAAATCCACACATAAGCACAAACAGCTGGTTCAAGTGATTTAACATATGGCCGTCGGCTGTCCTGGATGGTATGCGGAGAAACATCCGTCAGTCCTCTGATTTTCATCATACAAACACACTTTAATGGATGTCTCCAGCTTTCCTTCGATAAAGCACAGAGTTAAGAAGGCCACTTTATTCCAGTAAAAAATGGGTAAATGAAAATGAGAGGCAAACTGAAAAAAGGGGCGTTTATGATCTCAGTTTAAAGTAAACAAGCTGAGATTTAGATTTAGATGAGGAGTAATGGGTGCGGTAATGAAAGGAAGTCGGGCTAGTTTCCTGTGGAGCTAATCAAAAAGCTGACAGCAGTGGTCCCAGATAGAGGCAACAGCTGAGCTACCGTCACCGACTCGCCTTTGCAACGTAAAGCAAAAATTACAAGATGCCTTCACAGGAAGTAGGCTACTGCTTGGATAAAACAACCTCTGAGCATTTTAATTCATCACCACCCACAAAGTGACAAATGCATTAAACTACTTAACAAATGTTTAAGGCAGTGGTGATGAACGAGCTACACTGAAAAACATATTAAAAAATGTTGAAACTGTGAGGAGCTTAAAGGGAGCAGCTGAAAGAAGAGAAACATGATGGCAGCAACATGGTTACAAAAAAGACCAAAGCTGGAGCAGGCAAAGTTATGACATGTTACACACAACGAATATGTGGTGGAAAATTTCACATTTAGCTAAATGGCAACAGGTCGCTAACATGTTTGGATCTACAAAGAACATCCAGAACCTAAAACTGCAAAGGAACTTGGTGTTACATCATTAAAAGACTACGATAATCTGATTATCTGATTAATGTTTTTTAAGAGGCAAACCACAAAATGTTGCTGACTGGCAGTATGTAATAGAGATCTCTACACAGGCTCGGGAAGTAACTGGAGACTGAAAACTGTCCTCCAGTCTGCCAAAACAAAATTTTACATTTGTTTTGGAACTAAGAGAAACGACATCCTGGCAGTTCAAAAGGCAGCGCCATGATAGTGAAAAAAAGGAGGCACAAGTCTGTCTTAGCAATTTTACCCACCGGACGTGTAACATTCGTTGTTAAAAATATTATTTCAAACTCAGGTATCCTTAATGCAGCCATTCACACCAATTCACTATCAAAATGTGCAATATACAGTGATTTTAAAGGCCTTTAGTCTGACCAGTAAGAATACACAGAAGGGGGCCTATTTACTGAATGTTTTTTTAGCATTATCTATGTTTTGCTGCATTTTAAATTATTTTATATTTGATAAAGACGTTTGCACACTTGACCAAATAATACGAGGAGAGAGAGATTTATCTGTAAGTTTGACTGTATCCCTTGTGTCCGCAAACTAGGCTTGATGATACTGTACCAATCAATTAATTAATGTTTAAGTTCCTAACATGTTTAGATGGAGATCTTAATGAGTCAATAATAGTGACACTAAACAACAGGAAAAGGTTTCCACTTTCTTACCACCACCAAATTATTTTCTTGAAGGCAAAAAAGGGAAGAAACATTTCAAAGACATCATATATTAAATGTGTATATATATATATATATATATA